TAGTATTGTTACGTAATCTGAATTTTCGAGAAACTCTCTACACACCTCTAAATATAACCAACGCTACGCGCCAAAAAAGAGTATATATTGTTAGTTTGTTATAGTCAGTGTGCTATAAACTTCGAAAGCTATAACTGTGATTGTTATAGCGCTTATTAATCGGAAAACTTCAGATATTTGACCAGGAGCATTTACAAAGTTCGAACATTACAAATCATTTAACTTCATTGGATTCACATCGGACATTAGTATTTTTACGAAGATATTATATAACTTCAGCGGTAAAAGAAACTCGACCTGTAATCGGCGTGTGGTCAGCGAGAACTACAGAGCTAGCTAGCTTCCTATTAAGTTAATTGTACCTACATCAACTCGTAATTAACTCGCTCATCATGTACCCTGGATAAGATACCAAAGAAGTTCCAGACTAGAAAGAAGACTTTATATTGCTTGTAAGTGTGTAAAATTTTTGTATATAAATTATTGTGTGTAATAACTATTTGTAATAAATGTTATTGTAAATTGTATTGTTGTGTGTACATTAAAACATATTTGTATAAAACAAAGAAAACTATGTGTATCAATCTTGTTGGAAAATATTATAAACTAACAATATATCGGCTTTTACTTAATTACTAAATCCAAAGTACAATTTAACTACTAAATGTAAATTATCATTTAACTCAATTTCAGGCTATTTGAAATTCTAATATGTAACACTCACGTATTCTTTCCTGCTATACAAACAACTCTCACGTTCACTCTGTTCCATCATTTCTTCCAAACTTCTGTTATTCTGCGAATAGGACAATGACAGTTAGATACATATTCCTTTGTGCCTATGATCAGGATTGTCCTTTGTTGTTGTTGTTGTTGTTTTTACTTAGTATTTGAAAACCATTTCTATCATTGAAGATGCTATGATATTCAAGAAGAATCATGACTGACCATGGTCAGAGGGTCAAAAATATTAAATGAGTCTTTACCGTGAAATGTTTTTAGGGAATTATTCTCTGGTCTTCATCTAAATACTCCATTCCATGTCTCGAGCCTGCCACTTAAGTTCTACTCGTGCCCATAAGTCTTGATGGCCCAGACACCTATGCAAGCCATGTATGAGGCAGGGTAGGTTAATGCCTGGTGAAGA